ACATTAACCGTCGATTCCAAATAAACTACGAAAGGACCATTATCATTTTTAGAATAAAAAATTGTTTTTTCATTTTAAATTTTGACTGCGTTGAACCCAAACTAATTTCATCCACCATATCAACAGTATCAATATTAACATTTTGAACGCCATCCAGGGGTATCCGCTCCCTAGCCTTACTCATATTTAAAAAAGAAAATTCAAGCAATGAATGTATTATATACAAAATATAAAATATATAACAATATGAACAAATCAAAAATTCAATTAACCTAACAAAAAAAAATAATGCTCAACTTACCACAGGAAGGCCTAAGGTAAAGGTGCAAAAATAATTAAAGCTTTCAGCGTTTTTTCGGCAAAAAAACTCTTTAAAGATTTCACAAATATCAGAGCTGGGTCACCAAACAAAGCTGGAATAAATGTCCAAAAAACCGCAGTCCTAACAGCACTAAAATTAACTAAAAAATTAATATTTTTTTCAGACAGAAAATGACAATGTCACAAGCACCGAAAAAAATTGCTCTAGCTTCTAACTTTCTCAGATTATTTTTTAAAATATATATTAAAAATATATACAGGCATTAAGAAATAATAATAAATTTGAATAAACAATATTTGGCGATATAATTCCGGAAAAAGCCGAACCGCTCCGAAATTTTCAAAAGTTTTGGGTCGCGACCGTTGCAAGAATAGCGCCAAATAGTGTTTACATTGTCCTTATGGGCACTTTCCAATCTAAACTTGGTTTCCTTTTTTATAGTTTGATGTCCTCTAGCGGACAAACTAAGCAGTTTTGTATAGAGGTAAATTGTGTCCAATGAACTTATTTTTGATTCCAGTATAAATATATAGTATATATATATATATATATATATATATATATATATATATATATATATATATATATATATATATATATATATATATATATATATATATATAAAGTAAACGCCACGAATGTTTGGGAGTGATTCATCGCTTGATGAAGTTAGAATCGACACGCGCGCTATCATTTTTACATTAAAAACGTAAATTTTTACCGCAGACGTAGGTTTCTAAAGGCCCGGTTTAATCATCTGCCTGCGCTCCTCCTACTTATTCTAAAATGCTAGCGTGATTGACAAAGACGATACTATATCGCGTTTCTTTGATTGATTTGTTTTTGTGCGTCAGTCCATTGGTGTGCTTGCAGTGCGACCAATGGGGCATTCCAGTTTATATTTATAACCAAATATATGTTTTGACAAGGCTTTGACAGTTGAAACAACAAATTACAACAGATTATATATTGATTATTATATGACTTGAAACACCACGGCACTGGAATTAAGTTTTATGTGACCTTGAACAGATTAGTTCACATGGTAGCGACCGATGAATCACTCCCAAACATTCGTGGCGTTTACTATAGTATAAATACGTAGTAGTTTTATGTCCACGGAATATTGGGACACCCTGTATAATATACATTTATATGAAGGAGGCTCTGAGTAGAATAACAGTTTGGATTGAAATGACATTTTGGGATCAAATATTATGTAGGTTAATTTCAAGTCATCATGATCGCATTCTCAGCTTATTCAACCATATTTCCAATTATGGTGTAGCCTCCCTCACATATTTAGATACTCCCTTTGTAGTTGGACCCATTGTTGTTGTGACAAAACTTTCCAGATTTGTCCGTTAACATGGTAGTGTGGCCTTTATATAATTATAATTAAAATAATTTATTGAGCGGTAGGCAGAACTTGGATAATGAGAACACCGACATTTCAGAGCGTAAATATAGTTTATCTTTTACATATAAAAACAAAATATAACCAGCTGAAAATCGAAATTAAGGCATCGCACTTTTATGGCAAGGGCTCTTTCTAAATTCAGTTACTATAAACTCTATTGCCACTTACCTTATTACGTCAACATCCATCAGCAATACATCAACAACAAGAACCTGTCGAAGACTTCGTTGATCCCCTTGTAGATCTACCCCTTCGATCTTGGACTCATTCTTAAGATTGGACCACTCGACCGGTTATCACAGTGTTCAACTTAATATTTTAGTGAATAGGTGAAATAAAGAAATAAATAAATAAAAAAATAAAGAAAAAGATTTAACAACAAAACATTTATAATTAATGAAAAAGAAAGAAATTGAATCAAAAATAATTAATGACAATTAGAGAATTGAAATTAAAAGTCAGAGATGATAAAGTTAAAAAAAAAATTCAAAATATTCTTCTTATTAGTCCAATTTAAATTATCTACAATTCGCATATACTTTCAAATCTCTCTTAGAATTATCGTTGGCAGAAAATTAATATGTAACAAAAATATTCACTCAACAATTAAATTTAAATTAGAATTTAATAAAAAGAACAATTGCAAAATAATCACTCATGCAATGACATCTAAATTTTAAGTCTTAAATCATTAATAAAGAAAAATATTAGAGAAAATCCAAAAACAACAATTAAAATACTTTAAGCATGAATAGTTTAGAATTTCCTAACTTGAGACAATCTTTAGATAGACAACTTACTAAAACAATTAAAAAGACCACTGGATAATAAATATAAGATCTACACGGAGTAAATTCGACCGTCCAATTTAAAAGTCAGTACCGAACTAATTTTGAAGATGAAAATACTGATGCTGGTACTATCTCGGAATGGCGTTACTACATCTTCGGCACGCCCCTGTTTGAGGAACCTTCGAATACCATCCAAATGCATATTTTGCACCTTTTTAATTGGCGGAAGGGTTCCTTTCCCGAAAGATCCCTAGACTTCTTTCACCCTTGTTTCTGGTTCTTATCCCGAGAGAGCATCAGCATGTCCTATTTATTAATTAAATGTAATTTTTAAACCCTTCCGTGTAAATCTTACTCTTTTACCAATTTGCTGAATACACTCATAATCTACCTTAACTAATACAAATGATATCGTGACATAGGATTACCTTAAAAAAAACCGCCTAGAAATGAAATCTTTATTTCTTCATTCATTTGTCTATTTCTATTTAACTCTAGGAACGGAAAAAAAGATAATCCTATTTCTATAATTTTCAGACCTTCATCTCGTGAACATTTGGATTCTGATTTTAAAACATATATTTAATACTTTTAATTTTCAATTTAAAACCTCTAGCGAGGGGATGATTTAATTTTACTTATTTCGTTAAGCATGCCTACGTGCTTTTTCTGCGTTGTTTATTTTGAGATATCCCTAGGGTACACACAACTGGTACCACTCTGTCAAATAGAGTTTTAATAATAAGGGATGAATGTTTGTTCTACTTTACCCTCGTTTATGTGACTTTAAATTATTTAGAAGATTGTATTATTTGCTTAGTTAGTTTCTCAGGATATATGCTTACTTTTAGAGAGTTTATGTGTCTTGAATATCATTAGATTATTTGCTTAGGCCTTTTAAAATTCGTTTGCCTATGTCAACTGATAACTTCGTAAACTGAAATGGTCCCATCTTAGAATAACAAACCAAAAGATAAAATTTTACCAAGCTTGATATTATTCTATTACATTGTCAATTATTGTTGGCTATGCGGGCCCCAGTTATCCCTGCTAATTTCTTAATATCATGGTCCCAGCTCCCATCTCATGTTTGATCTTCTTCTAGGTCTCTTAATTCCGCGTGGGTACCGCGTAATTTCTGTGGTCCATCTGTTGTCTCTCATTTTTGCCAGGTATGCCCATTGCCACTTGAGGGAGTGGACTCTGTGGATGACATCTATTTCCTGGGTCTTGTGTCGTATCCATTCTATTCTTTTAAAGGTTTGTTTTACGGTCACTCTTGGTTATTCCCAGCATATTTCGTTCCATTGAGTGTTGTGCGACCTGCAGTTTCCTTATGATGTCTGTTAAGGGTCCAGGTTTCGCATGCATCGGTCATGACTGGTAGTACACATTGGTCGAATGTTTTCTTCTTATTATTTTATTCATATATTTTGATATAAGGTAAGGTGGGGGTAGCAATGACCCTATTTTACAACTTTTATCTTTGAAGTAAAAATTTCACACATTCACTACAAATAGAAACTACAGGTCTAGCAGGAGGAAAATACCATGTATCTTCCGTTATGGGAACGGGTTATCCCCAAAATTCATTTTAAAATAATTATTTTTTCTATTTATTTTGATTGTTATATGATAAATTTATGCGTTTGAAAGATATAGGTCTGTATTAACAAAAAAACTGTTTAATTGTGTTTAAAGTACAAGAATAAAATCTATGAACACCTAAATAATAAGTACCTACTAAAACCAAATGACAGAGACAAAATACTAAATAACAGATCGAGTTAATCATAAACTGCTACAGAAAAAGGAAATCTATACAGTATTTGTCTCTCTCTGTAAATAGTTGCAGGATTCGGGAGAATTTTAATTATCATATCAATAGAGATACATGATAAATCAGACATTTTAATTTTGAAATCTTGTCTTGGTTTGGTTTGGTTTTAAGTTTTTGTTTCTGGTGTATCGATAGCCATCCGCCCCTTTTTTGATTTTTCACACATAATTTCGAACCATTTTTACAGATCTTTGGAGCAACTGGGAACTGGGACTAACCACTTAATATCATTCTTATAAGAACTGGCTTAAAAACAAATTTAAAGGTGATATATTTAATGTTAATTTACCTATTTAAAATCACATAGAAACAAATTTTATTTAAGTTTTAAAAATTTACTTACCTAAATTTCAGCGGGCGCTGTTTTTTGTTGGAATAAAAAAACACTTGTTAGACACCATGCGGCACCACCGCCATATGGCGAGATTTAAATAAACGTTTCAACTTGCTATAGTTAGATGGCATCCCATATTTGAAAATAGGATACAAACGGTTTCAAGAACGATTAAACAACATCCAATAATGTGATATAGCCCAGATACCCCGAGTCCCAGTTACCCGGCCTTACCTTATTTTTCCCTTTTATTCAAAACCGTTTATGTATATTTTATTTTTCTTCTCTTGCAGAACAAAGTGAAACTATCGAACCTTCGCAGGACGCGCGGCGATGTGGAGGTCGCCCTCTGGCGCCAGTTGTCGCAAGTGGTGCGCTCGTACGTTCAGAAAACCGACGCGCGAAGATGCCATTTGCAGGAATTACGTAGGTTGGACGCGGAAAGCGCCGAAGAAATCCGCAGGAATGAGGAGCGGATGAACAGCGAGGAGGTAAGCGAGGCGGATGGTTGTTTCATACGAATACTTGAGGCTATATATCTAATTGTTTGCTTTACAACGTAGTTATTAGTAATGTGCATAACGATTATTTTAAGTGTATCGAATTACGCGATTAAATTTCGCATATCGAATCTACTTTAACGATTCGTTCATTTGAACGAACTACATGTAGTCTAAGAGCTAGCAACGTTTTCGAGAAAGTATTTTAAGACGTCTGGCTCTTTGATATATCTTTTACTATGCTCTCTGGAACAGCATGCGAACCGTCTGGCTGTCGATACCCGTTGCGTTCACTACTGCGCATCGGAATAAGATCCTATATTTTTTATTAATTTAGTCCTATAAATTCTAGTATTGAATATAAATCGAACATGTCTCCATAGCGCAGTGTGTAGAGTTTTCGACCACGAACCGATGATTCGGAGTTCGAATCCGGGTCAGGACAAAGACTTTTTAATTTTATTTTCGTTTATATTCTGATGGTAATGTATTAAATAATTCTGGCGATTCAAAAAAAAAACAAATATTTAATACTTTACTATCAGAATATAAACGAAAATAAAATTAAAAAGTCTTTGCCCTGACGCGGATTCGAACTCTGAATCATCGGTTCGTGGTCGGAAACTCTACGCACTGCGCTATGGAGACATATTCGATTTATATTCAATACTAGAATTTAAAGGACTAATAAAAATATAGGATCTTCTTTCAATGCGCAGTAGGGAACGCAACGTTTACCGGCAGCCAGACGGGCGGCATGCTGTTCTAATCAGTGGCGGACTAAGCCTGTCGGGGGCCCGGGGCGGCGATGCTAAATGTGGCCCCCGGTCTGTTCAGATAATGATATACTTCTAATGCACATTTTGTAAAGATGGAATTTTACAAAACGTATTGACGTATGTATGACAAAATTCAAGTATTTATACAGGGTGTCCCAGGCTGAGCGTGCATTAGAAGTTTCTAGAGAACTACAATATCTAGATCGGAGATTTTTTGCACATCATTGTGTCACAACGAGATCTATCGATTAAAAACATTTTTAATATGGCGGCACTTCCGGAAGTACCGGAAGTACCGGAAGATAACAGAAATTTCTTCTTTTAAATGGGTGCCCTCATTTTTTACATACTTAATTTTTCTGTAAAATTTTATGAATTTTGTTATTAAACACTCTATACCTAACGTTAACTGTTTTTTAGGAAAAAAAATATTATTTTGGGACAAAAAAAATTCTAGTCAAAAATATGTGTATAGCCTAAATGTCAAATTTAGTGATTACCACAGCCACTGTATCATAAAGAGAAGACATGTGGCTATCTATTTCAAAAATTAAATTGTGTCTGAATAAAGCATTGCGACTGAATGTCATATGATAATGGCCGCAGCTGTCATGGAATTGAGCGATTAATGCAATTTGATGTAATAAAATAAGTAGTAGTCAACTAAATTAGAGGTGGCAAAATTAAATAATAATTCACCACAATACATAGAACTATAGGATTTAATCATCTGCTGATGATATTAACATGGTTAGCGGAATGCGCGTCTAGTGCGAAAATAAAGTGTTGTGGTGAATTAGTGTTTTATTTTGCTGTTGTAACACCAAAGGTTCCAACCCCAACTGTAATAAATTAGAGGGATTAAATTATTGAAATCCCCGAGCGAATGTTCGCATGTATTTAATGGCCGGTTCCACAAATGACCGTTCCAGGGAAATACCGCTACAAAATATCGCGATTTTGTTAGTCCTCCAAGATTCGAGGGGCCCCATCGCTGTCTCAGACTCGTGGCTCCCGTTTAGTATAACGGGACGGGGGAAATTTAGTATAGACGGCAGTATTCGCCATCGCATCGGTTAGAAAGCTAAAATATAAGTTATGCTGTGCATTGGTTGTAATTTAAAATGTTTATTCAGTAAAAATCAATAATGAAACCATTGAAATATAATAACTTTATTTATTATTAACTATAATATAACTTAATTAAAAGCTAAAATAAATAAATTCAAGTTTATATTCATAACTATTATAGTAATCTTTAAAATTATAAAACATAATAATTTTCGATATTTGATAATTCCATATTTTAAACAAAGAAAATTACCCCTTGATTTAATTTCCTAAATAGAAAATGCCATTGAGAATTACTGGTGCCTGATAATTGATAATTAAGTAAATATCTGCTTCTATTTATACTGTTTAATAGTTTGCGTATACGTATATATGGTTTGCATACTCCACCTACAAACTGCTTCATAACTACTGAACACATATTGGTCTTGTTTGCTAGTTGAATAAAAAATTACTTATTGAGATTTGGAGGCCCCCTAAAAGACGGAGCCAGGGGCGGACCGCCCCTTCCGCCCCCCCCCCCTTAATCCGCCACTGGTTCTAATAGAGAGCATAGTAAAAGATATATCAAAGAGCCAAATGTCTTTAAAATCTTTAAAATACTTGTTTTTCCGACGTTGCTAGCTCTCGTACTAATGGTACTTTATGTATCACAGATAGAATTGTCGTGTTTTGTAAATACCTTTCTTGTCGCCCATGGCGTTTGTTTTGTTGATGCACGCCCAGTGGTGAAGCTATGGGGTGTGTTGGGAGGGGATGCTCGGATGCTCCCCCCCCCCCCATGTAATTGAGTTGGGAAATTAGTCATGACAACGCGACGTCTAAATCCCAAATTAAAAATATTATAAAGGATGGTACGATTTTATTTTAATTTTAGAGTTGTCATAACAATAATTATTTATGTTATAATGTTCAATAATGTTAAATTTAAGTTTCAAATTAATAAAACAATTTTTTTAAACTAGGGTTTTTATTCCTATCACGATACATTATTACATGTGTTATGGCCTCTAAAAAAAGTAGGAAGTTGGGAAAATTGCTTGTTCTCCCTCCCCAAAAAATTTTTATATTTCTATATATCGAATCACAGCATTGCTTTCTTTAATCTTGTTTATATCGTATTTTTGAAGTGGAACTCCTTTACGCGCGATAGTAAAGAAAACTTCTATACCTAAGCGCGTGACACACCACGGCCTTGATACGACATGATCTTGACCATGCCTTGACGAACGAGCTAGCGAAAAAAAAGCGGTAAGGATCGCGCAAACACCAAAAAACATTTGATTTAAAGTTAAGAAAAGCATTATAATAAACTTGATACTGTACCTGAGTACCGCAATATCCTCTGGTTGTGTGCTAGGAAGTAGGTAGGAAGTAAATTTTCATGCATATTTTCATCGATATGTCTGTAGCTTCTGAATAACGGTATAGGCAAAGCATTTAGCTCATTTGTGTTACGTATGTGACAGTTTGTGTCCCCATCTGATTTAGTGTCGAGTGACGACGCATCGATAAGTAGTTCAGGGTGCATCCGCACTATCCTAAAAACGGCGTATCGGCGTAACGGCGTAAGGACCTTGAACCGATTTCCAGTAATTCTGTTGGCTGAAATTTTTGACAGATGAATTTGACAGATAAAATTTCTGACAGATGAATGTTTCAGCGAATAGAATTACTGGAAATCTATTCAAGGTCATTACGCCGTTACGCCGATACGCCGTTTTTAGGATAGTGTGGATGCACCCTCACGGAATACGGTTTGTTAGGCCTGGACTATATATGAATGACAGTTTTAAGTATCTATTTTTCATAAGTGCGACTCTGCGAGGTCCCATCTAAGCACTAATGTAGGTAGATTCATCTTGACCGTCGCACAGTGCTTCGTCCCATGGACAAAAATCGAAAAAAAAGTTAAAATTTACTAATATCTGAATATGTAATTTTATACTTATAGCTATGTTAAACCATCCTGTATATTATTTTTCATAAACACCGTTTTTTTGTTAGCAAATATTTTCACTAAAAATAAATTTTGCGATCATTATCTTATATCAATGAAAAGAATAACATTCATAGTAGTTCTGTATATGGAGTTAAACGTAAACGAGTTAGTACGTACTTAATTGAAAGCCACTATGGATATTGTTAAACAAGGTATGTACCGTATGATCGAATAAAAACGGCGTCAGCGATGGCTATGAAATAACGATCGAAGACATTTCCCATATAACTTTACATATAAAATGACAGCGATCTTCATTTCATAGCCATCGCTGACGCCGTTTTTATTCGATCATACGGTACTTTAAATTTATTTCTAAACAAGTTCGTTATTGTTTAGTTTTTATTTATTTTTTAAAATGATCCTTAAATAGGTATAAAAATTTTACGTTTTCAAACTTCAAAAAGGCATTTAAAAAAACATATCAAAACATATCGTATTTATTGAATATTTTTGTTGTCATATTCATACACTTTTAATTTTTGTATAGTTCACCTGCGTCTGCTTGCGACGAACTTGATTTTATAATACTTTTCAGATGGAGTAAAATTGATAAGCAATGCCGATCTGGTTAATACTTGGCTTGATCATAAGGACAAGAACTCAAAATTATTTGTATTTCAAAAAATGTGTTCTTTATTAGATATTGATGAATATTCCAGTCAAATGAGACCATTGGTGCCTGAAAAAGCCCACTATTTTGGAGCGAAACGTCGCATAAAAAAGTTTCCATCTTTCAATTTATTATAAAACCTCATACCCAAGAAAACTAAAAAATAATATATTGATATGGTCTATTAAAGAGGTAACTATTAACATCCGAACCCCTCATACCAACAAAAAGAACAGTAACAACGCGAAAAAGTAACATATTTGAAAATGATGTACAGAAATATCTTATATGTGCGGATATTTCATCTACCTGTGATTTGGATACTATACATTTGAAAGATTCTGTCAGCAGTGATTCTTCTGAATCAGAGTAGTTACGATCTATGCATTTTGTTGTCCTAAAGTAAATTTATAGTATCTCAAGTTTTTTTTTTAATTAAATATAGCATTAATGTTTCTTTTTCACTAAAGAAAAACATTTTTATCTTATATTGGCTTATATTGTAGGAATCATGTTCTAATGTTAT